GAGAAGGTCACCAGGTTGCTCAGGGGTATAGATATTGAAAAGGGTCTTCAAGTGTGTTTAAAGCCTAACTGCATTATGTATGCTATAGGCCACCGCTGAAGTGGGTCAGCATTCTTGTAGACTGGATGGGAATAAACTTAACTGTAGCTTTGCAGCAACATGATTAACTGTCCTGATGCTGAAGGGTGGAGCCGCCGCCTCAGAAATGCCATCGTGTTGTGACGCCCACTGTGACAAGGGTTTTAAATGTGGGAAGGCATCCTCCCTCTCTGTAGGTATTGGAAGCTCCCCTCTCTCCATTCCTCTCCATCCGCAGGCTGAATACTGACAACATGAAGTGGTTATACATGAGCAGGTTGTGAACTCCTTCCCCTTGCCCGGTAGGTCTGAGGCTGTGGAGCCCTCAATATCAGAAGGATATTGACCACTTGGAGCGAGTCCAGAGGAGGCCACGAAGATGATCAGAGGGCTGGAGTACCTCTGCTATGACGAAAGGCTGCGAGAATTGGGCTTGTTCAGCCTGGAGAAGAGAAGGCTCCGAGGAGACCTCACTGCAGCTTTCCAGTATCTGAAGGGGGCCTACAAGGGTTCTGGGAGAGGACTTTTTACAAGGGTCTGTAGTGACAGGACAAGGGGTAATGGGTATAAATTGAAAGTGGGGAGGGTTAGATTGGATATCAGGAAGAAGTTCTTCCCGGAGAGGGTGGGGAGGCACTGGGACAGGTTGCCCAGAGAAGCTGTGGATGCCCCATCCCTGGAAGTGTCCAAGGCCAGGCTGGATGAGGCTTGGAGCAACCTGGTCTAGTGGAAGGTGTCCCTGCCCATGGCAGGGGGGTTGGAACTAGATGATCTTTAAGGTCCCTTCCAACCCAAACCATTCTGTGATTCTGTGATTCTATGAGGCAATCTGGAATTTGTTCAACCTGTTGTGCCCTGCTTAAGTAGGTATTTGTTACTTTTCCTCCTACAAGAATCCAACCAAACCACTTTATTAGTGCTCCAAGTAATTATCAGAAGCTTTTGCTCTAGTTTCCCATTAGTTACAATCCAAGTTAAGTAAGTCCCATTTCACAAATATCAGCATCTCTATATGAGAAATTCCCAACGTACTGTGCTCTCAAAACGCAACAGGCAATATTGGCAGCACAGTATCAATAAATGCAAAATATCTGGACAAAAGTTTACCTAGCAGACACCCCTACACAGCCTTCAAAATCAAACCCATTGTTGTTTTTCTCTCGTGTTTTGGAGGAAACCAGTGTAAACAGCACAATGTCACCCAGACTCCCCCCCGCTGGGAGATGAGATAGCCTCTGAAACGATCCACTTTTGAAGGACCACGTTAGCTGGATGCTGCTTAGAGTACTGTTTACGCGCTGCCTATGTGAGGATGAAGCTTACATTTTTCATGCTTCTCCAAAAATCATTTATTTGTGAGAAATCCAAACGTGAATGGAATTAGCCCTTTCTTTTCCACCAGGTGCAGATCCCTGCGTACGTACAGCATGTACTTCCTCGGTCCGTATGCCACGCAGATGGATCTGTATGGACAGCAGGCAAGCCTGGAAAGGCAGGACCTGTCATCCTTGCAGCAAATAGGTTGCAAGTTTAGCCCAGTGATGGCCTCTTGCTTGAAGAACCTTAAGACTTATTGCTTCCTACCGTAAGCGTAACAATCTGTCCAACAAATGACTCTTACTTGCGGCAGCCAGGCTGTCTGCGGGGAGAAGTATTCTCAGCAGGAGCAGAAGTCTGCATCAAAGAAACAGAACTGCTCCTGTGCTCCAGTGTCAGTACAGAAAATGCTTTGAGTAATATCAGATGTAACAGAAATTGCCTAAACGAAGCATTTGAATGCGTAATGCTCCCGTTACACACAATACCACCCTTTCGCTTCAGATTTCCCCAGTTTTGTTTTTAAAATGCTGCTGTTTTTATTGGGCCTAATTGAGCAATTCCTTCCACTGATTCTCCAGGATTTATCAGCGGAAAGAAGGGAGCGTGCTGTGCCGTGCAAGGCGACCATGACCTAGAGTCCCCATTATCTTGCAACATTGACATACCCTTGGCAGGAACAGCAAGCTGTCAGTGTGCTTTCCAAGGCGACGCAAGAGAAGGATGGGGCCCTGGGGAAGCTGAGAAAAACCCCTGTCCAATTACTCCAGCAACGTCAGGGGCAGCCCAAAGCAGTGTTGACGGGGTCCAACAGTCCCAAAATCCCACACCTCAGTTTTTCCCTTCCTCACAACCGAGTTCTCCCAAATCAACCATTTTATAAGCATCGCCCATTGGTGAGCAGTTAAGGTGTTGGGCTCTATTTTGACTTCTCCCCCACTGACCCCCGTTTCAGTATTTGCATGAAAAGTCCTCTTTGTTGACAGGAGCACAAAGGTCAAACGCTCTAGCACAGCACTACATCTGTTGCCAGTGAGCATGCCATTATTGCGGCCATCGTTCCTCCTCCGTAATTAACACCACAAACACACCGAAATGCTTATCTGCAAAATGGTGTTAAAACAGGTATGAGGGCCACAGAGAGCACCACTGCTAGTTAGGTGTGGAGGAACTTTGTCTACAAAGGCTCCTCTATACCTATTTGTGCGCCCAGCTGTGAAACAAAGCCACACTACAAGATAGGCTTTTGTTTTCCAAACCTAGGAAACAAGCCGTTTTCTCCTGCCAAAACCATCATTCAGGAGTACTGCAACTAAACCAAAACACACACTCACCGACACATCCCGTTCAAATCTGCCATGAAGACCAGTGCATTCGGCAGCTCCTGCAAGAAACCAATGTAGAGTTATCTACTTACTGCAAAAGGTAAGTGTATGTTTAGGTGTAAAAATAAACATTATTGAGTCTTATCTCAAACCTAACTACCGAGCTCGTAACAAGATGCGTAGTTAATGCTATGATCCCTCTTTCTCTTGACTTTTTTCTCCTTTACGCGTTCTTGAACTAGGTCTTGGAACTACACTCTCTGTAGAGCTCCTTTTGAATCTGGTAACCTTGACAGATAACTACAGAAGAAAAAAAGAAATAGCAGTATTTTTACTTGTCTTGGAACCAAGCATTTATTTCTTAAATTTTTACAAATAAGATTTCATACAAATCATAGAGAACAAAGTTTTTTATCCACACAAGATGTGCTCAGAATCTTTACAGAGCAAGCTTGGTTTCAGTATCAAAAGAACACCCAGTTGGTCATGCACCATATTCTCAGGTGCTGTAAACTAATGTAGTTTTGAGCTACACCAATTTATACCAGCTTTCACAAATACCTGTATTAGATTTTTATAATCTTCCCACATCAGTTTAGCATCAGGTTTCCCCAGTTAACTTCTTAAAAAGCAACAAACTATAAAACCTCCTCTGGGGAGTTACTGACTGTAGGTTATGACTGTCACAAGCAACCACATCATACAACCTCTTTCATAAACAGATCACACAACTGTTTTCCTCCTCTCCTAAGTCTCAATAGGTGCATTTTTTCTTCAATTCCAAGTTAATTTTGAGAGAGGGGGGAAAAACGTTCTAGATAAGAAGAGTCTTCTAAAAAACCACACCATTTCAGTGCCTCATTTCCTTTAAATAGGGTCTGACTGCATGTCCCTTCAGTGCAGCAAGGATTATTGTCCAGCCACCTTTTGTCCTTCCGAGCAGCATAACTGCCCTTCACAAAATGTTGTATTAGTTTAACTGTGTGGATAAACTCTCTTCATCTTCAAAAAAAGCTTTCTTTTTTCTTTCCCCTGGATTCTGTGTTAGCCTTAAAATATTCCTGGTATAAGTCGGTAAGGCACTGCAGCAGTGTAACGCTTCCAGTCTTTCCCGTATTTGCAGAAACAACGGTGTTCATCCCTAATGCAACGGTGGGTTAGCAGAATAGTCATATAAATGATGTAGAAGTAAGGCAGGATGTGCTCAAACCCACAGGTGAGGCAGTAGGCCAGGGAGCCCATCAAATCTCCCGTGTAGTTGAAATGGCGTGCCCAGCCCCAGAATCCTGAGGTCAGCAGTTTGCTGTAGTACTTGGTCCCGTTCACAGACATGTAGGAGCACTCGATATACTCTGGCTTCTTCCCCCATATCTTGCAGTTGCCGTTTGTACGACGGAAAAGGTCCTTCTGGTGGTTGGTCATTCTGAAGACGTAATAGCCGATCAAACCCAACATCAAGATCCCTATGGCATGGGCAGTGCTCAGCTGGACAGGGTGGTAGACCAAATACAAACCCTGGGGAGCAGAGAGAGAGAGAGTCAGGGGTTTATTTTAAATACAGGCTCAGGATGCCAGACTAATTCCTTGACTTACAGTGACCCAGGACAGGTAAGTAGAGAGAACAGGAAAATCCACCCTACAACTAAAACTGTGGAAAATGTTCAGAAAACTCTGCATCCTATATATTCTCCTTCTCTCTCTCCCCAGAGTGGAACAAGAAGAAGAGAGAAGCTGCAAGGATGCAGACCAACCAAGGCAGAAGTAAAAAAACCCAAACAAACCACCCACCAAAAAAATCCTCAACATGCAGAACTGCAAAAAGGGACTGAAAAGATGTGGAAAAAATACACAGACACAATAGACAGTGACAGAAAAGGGCAGGAAAAAAAGAGGAGGAAAGGAAAATCTGTCAATTCCATCGATGGACAGTAAGCTTTCCTACCAGTGAATTGTTACAAAGGGTGTTGTAATGGTTACTTGGTATTCAAACTCTCTAGAAACAATTTAAGATACAAATGGGGGAGAATGGTTCTGGGAAGTTTCTTTCTTTTTAGCCCAAACACATATTCTACCACATTTTTACCTGCAAAGTGTAGAGGTAAGGCAACCAAACACAGTCTCCCCAGCCCAAGTACCATCCAAAGTGATCATGGCAGATATCGATGGTTTTCAAGTACCAGGTTTCATTCCAGAAGAAGTCCAAAACATAAATACCCTGAAACAGAATCGTTCAACGTTAGTTATCCTGCTTAACAGCATCAGCCTAACCTTCCTGTGCTGTCTCCTGGTAAGGTTTCAAACCTGATCTCTCTTTTTATTGAGCACCTCAAAAAGAGAGTATTAAGAGGAACCTCTCACACAAACATACTGCATCTATGTAGCTAAAGCAGTAGGCAGTAATGTAAAGCAGTATTAACCAAGGTAACCAAGGCAAGTGTGCCACTGCGAGGACACCCACTTCAGAAGCGTACTCCTATCGGAGCACGCCTACTGCTCGTCAGCTTAGAATCATAGAATCACAGA